CTAAAGAAATTAAAGAAGTCATCTATTAGACAAAAGTAAGAATTAGAACTTATTAACAAGCTTTCATTATTCCTAATTTCTAATTAGAAATGCTTGAAAATGTTATTTAGTCCATTATTGTTAGATAAATCTGCCTTTGGGATTCATTTGCATTTCTTTTTATTGTGAAATAAAAATAGGAGATGAAAAGCCATTGGTTGGATGTGGTCCATGGGGCTCTTCAATTATGTTTGAAATAAACTTCTCATCAGGAAAACTTCCCCACCCAAATTGCAGCTTTCAGGAAATGGGAAGTTACAACTATTTCAAAAAAGGAGTTATCTCTACTTCATACCTAAAACCTTGGAACTGAGTAACTTCTAAAGAAGAAGAACAATTAATAAATCAATCGGTCAGATGAAACAGTGGCTTCTATTGGGTAATTAAATGTGATTCTCCTTGCTCCCAGGGCATTAACAATGCAAACCTATACCCCAACCCCTGCATAACATGCATAAAAAATGAAAATTCATGAGAAAATAATTCAGTAGATATATCTCCAAGTGGCTGTGACTATAGGACCAAGAAGAGAAAAAATACACGGGGCTCAGATGGTTCACGATACAGGATGTCCACTAGAACAAGAGGGAAAAACAGGAAAAGAGAAGATAGGTTGATCATGCACCTAAAAGTTACACTGAGGTAGCTTTATCTTAAGGGCAGGCAATCTTGTGATCCTACAATGAGACCAAGATAAATAACAATTAAAAATAACAAAAAAAACTTTGTAGTATAAGTATATACAAAAAAGTTTACCTGCGCAGCCTTTTCATGAGAGAAGGATTACAAGTATCTTATCAATTAACAATGTAATGAGTTAAAATTCCACTGGGTTATTCAGACTTTATATGGGTTATAAAGTTAGTTCAATTGCTAATTGATAAGGTACTTGTAATCTCACATGTAAGTTGCATCAACATAATCAGCTTCATTTTTTCCCCTCTCCTCTGCCTTACCCCAATTTAAATCCTACATCAGTCTTGTCAATCTATGTATCTGATGGACTCTACTACAGCTCGTGAAAACTTATGCCTTTTAATCAACATTTTTTTCCTTCTATTCAATCATGTCTGATTCTCAGAGACTCTTGAACAAGTACCTGCATCTTTCATGGCATAGTTTTTGGGAAGTGACTTGCCATTCCTTCCTTCCTATGGCTGAGAGAAAATAACTGGTCTAAGATCATCCAATTGGCTTTGTGCTTAAAGTGGGAATATAGAACTCATAGTCTCCTAGCTTCTAGCCTGATGTCCTAACCACAATAGCAAACTGACTCTCTTAATTATTTTTAAATAAAAGTAAATTGGAAAAGGTGCTTCCAGTTCATAGTAAATTGGGCTCAAAGGGGAATATTCAAATATCTAAACATGGTGGAACAACCAAGCAGGGGAAAAAAAGATGAACCAATTTCCAATTTAAATAAAACACTATATTAAATATAATTGTTCGGCAGCTAGTAGAAGGAATTCATGGAAACACCATTTTGGTTAAAATTTTCAGTGCTCTTACAAGTGGAACTCAGAGACATATAATTCTGAATTAATATGCCTAGAATTGCACTGTTAATATTTAATCCCCAAAGTTTTATTTATTTGTTTGTTTGTTTGTTTGTTTATTTATTTATTTATTTATTTATTTTGTCAAGTGATTATTAGATAACAGGTATAAGTATAAACATAGTTATGAATACATGAAATGGATACATATAAGAAAAATAAAAAAGAAACAATAGGACAGGGACGGTAGGCACGTTGGTGCACTTATGCATGCCCCCTAAGTTGCTAAACTAAACCCTATTGCTAAGCTACTGGTTCTTGCTAAACCAGCAAGGTTGACAAACACCTTTGTTTTACAGTAATTATCAGGATGTTGCAAAGCCGATGGCAGAAATATTTAGACAGTGGAATTTGTCACCAATCTGTTCTTGTTCCCTATGATTAGGTATCTATGATACTGACCTTAGAGGTCCTTGTCAGAATCATTCTTTCAGATGTGCTCAGAATATTGTTCTAGTACATGCAGATGGTTTCAGAAGAATGCTTCATATTAAGATTCTCACGGTATTTTATGATACTTTCCAAGAGCAAAGCTTTGGCTTCTTTCATACATCTATATCACACAATAACAGCAATAACAATAAAGTGACTTCATTTGTGCTAGGAGAATGCCTGTAAACAGTGAATTTGCAAGGTCACTTGTCAAGTACACATTTTTAAAAGCATATATTATTTTGTCTTGGAGTTGGTTTGTGCTGCATCAAATTCTATCTTGATATTTCCACATATGTTAAAGCAGTATTCTCAACCTTGGCAACTCTCAGAATTTTCTTGCCAGTCATGACTGGTGCATTTCTTGAGATGCCTCTGTATAGATTACAGATCTTCAACATTTATACACAAAGCATTATCAGCATTATCTAAACTGCAAATATTAAAATGAATGACTAATAAATCTGAAAAAGTGACACAAAGGTACCCATACAAAAATAAGTTTAACTACATAGCTACATTTCACTTTGCTGGATGCTGTGGAATATTCTGGTATAATGAACCAGGTATGGACAATTCCAAGATAATCAGGAGTGGATTCAAGTTTTTTAACAACTGGTTCGGTGCCCTAGCTTAGTTGGTGGGCATGGTTTGGTGGTCATGTGACTGGTTGGACATGGCTTGGTGGCTAACTCAACTTCACTCACATCGAGGCACGCATCTCCTCACCTGGCCTCTCATGACTGTGGGGATGCTGCAACAGTTGTAAGTGTGAAATATTGTCATAAGTCACTTTTTTCAGTGCCATTGTAACTTTAAATGGTCACTTTAAATGGTCACTACACATAACCAAAGTACCAGCAAAGGAGGGGAAAAAACTCCAGAGAAGTTCCTGAGACAGGAAGTCTACTCCTGCCAAGAATGTAATAAGGGTTAACGGAGAGGCAGTTTCTGTAAGCAACACCAGAATGTTTCCTTCCTGCCTTGTTTACAGAATTAGGCCAGTAATTTCTTCTAACAACCAATTCTCCAAACTGCTTAGAATATTAACAACTGGTTCTAGTGAATAGGTGCAAACTGGTAGAATCCCACCCCTGAAGATAATCTCATAATGGGCTAGAGCAGGGGTCCCCAACCGCCGGTCCGCGGACCGGTACCGGGCCGCGGAACAAGCCTTACCGGGCCGCTGGTTGCTGGGCGCCGCCATCTTTTTTTGGTAAAAAAAGCAATTTTTCGTCAAAAAAGATGGCGGCGCCAGCGCTTCGGGTGAGCTTTTCCGGGTAGAAAGCCATTTCTACCCGAAAAAGCTCACCAGAAGCGCTGGCGCCGCCATTTTTTTTGACGAAAAATCACTTCCGGTGATGTCACCGGAAGTGATTTTTCGTCAAAAAAAGATGGCGGCGCCCAGCTGACGCCGGAACCGGGCCGCGGCGCCCAGCTGACGCCGGAACCGGGCCGCGGCGTCAAAAAGGTTGGGGATCCCTGGGCTAGAGGAACAGAGAATAAATAGGTGGTGTAGATAGGACATTATTAAGCATGTAATTTATTCTAAATTAGCATTCTTTATTGATTGACAGAGTTGTCACTTTGTTTTCAAATGTTTTACATAATTACTGTGAGAAGGAGATGCTGAAAATTAATATCTTCCTAAAGCTTGAATGAGGGAAGAATATGGGGAAGAGGAGAGGCATGATCTAAAACTTCTTGTATTGATTTACTTGCACAGTTAAAAGAAGTTTGATGTATTCCTGTTCAGATACAAATAATGCTTAAATAATCACTCTCACTGACTTTTCTATTAGATACCTGATTAATCCTACTTCTAGTTGATCAACATGTAACATGATTAATAAGATTCATGCACATTCTGTAATAAGAAAATGTTTTATGGAATGTGGAAATAAATCCTTGGTAGTACTAAACCAAATTATAGGTACAGTAGTCCTTGACTTATAAACCACCACTGGGACTAGAACTTTTGTCACTAAGTGTGTGGATTGGTAATTAGGTGAGTTATCACATGACCATGACCAATTTTATGACATATTTGTCATTGCCTTAAACAAATCCAGCTTCCCCCAATGGCTTTGCTTGTCAGAAGCTAGCTGGAATGGTTACAAATTGCAGCCGTGTGCCCCCAGGATCCTGCAACCATGATAAATATATCCCAGTTCCAAATGCCTGAATCAAGATCACGCAAATACAGGGATATTGTGAGGGTTGGAGTCACTTTTCTTCAGTGTTGTAACTTCAGATGATTGCTAAATGAATGATCATAGGTCAAAAACTACCTGTAATGATTTTGTAAAAGAGAGATTCACAGATATGTTATATTTATCACTTTAAACTGTTCTGCCATAAATTGTCAGCAACATGACACAAATAATTCCACAAATAATAAACAGAACTGCTGACACTTTTTTAATATATACAATTCTTCCCTTTAACTGGCTTTTAGGCATGTGCATGGGAGTAAGGAATGTCTTCAGGATATATTCAAAAAAGACAAGATGGTTGCAAACATGTAATCAAAGCATGCACAACACACTTAAAAACAAGTGAAGCTGCAATCACACTGGAGAGGCAGCCATTTTGACATTTTTGATCATATCCTGAGGGGAATACAAATGATGGAGAACTTTTTTTAAGGCTCATCTTTTTTGAAACTCTGTCCCAAAATCTGAAAAAGATACAGCTGCTTTAAAGAAATGCTGAAGAAATGTATTGCTTTTCAAAGCACATCTTAATCATTTTCAAAGTAGGTACAGCCTTAATGCTACTTTTAACAGGAATCTTCCCAATGTGTCTTTTTAATGACAATTTATCTGATGTCAATTTACTCTTTTTGTCTAGTTCCTAATGAAGAAGTTTTAAATCTATCTTTCCTCTATGTAATCTATTTGTCTAAAAATTCCCTTTCCTAATATAGACATTTAAAAAGACAATGCTCTCAAAATAAATGTTTTGACTTCCGGGCCTTTTCTTTTGCAAGTTTGGCGGGCGCACGTGTTGCCCCCCGAATAATTTTTGCAGTCTCAGCCGCCCTTCGCCTGGCCGGGTTGCTATGAGTTTGCCTCTCAATCCAAAGCCATTTCTAAATGGGCTAACTGGGAAGCCAGTAATGGTGAAATTGAAGTGGGGAATGGAATACAAGGGCTATCTTGTATCGGTTGATGGCTACATGAATATGCAGCTTGCCAATACCGAAGAATATATTGATGGTGCATTGTCAGGACATCTTGGTGAAGTTCTGATAAGGTGCAACAATGTCCTATACAAAAGGGGTGTAGAAGAAGAAGAAGAAGATGGAGAAATGAGAGAATAATGTTGGAAAATCTTGTGTTTTTTAATGTGTAAAATATATATATTCAGTTGTCGCTTTTGAAGAAAATTCAAGTTTTGTAACTACATTTTGGGGTGCAGAAAAATACATTAAGCTGAAAGAAACAGTCAATATGAAAGATGAACCACAAATTAAAAACTGGGATTATTTAGCCTTAATACAAATATTTTAAAGCAAATGGGATCAGATGTATTCCATCACCATTTACTTTATATGACTAGGTGCAAGATATAAAACTAGTACAAAAATACACTTTACAAAAAAACCTCAAGTAAAATAAATGTTTGGAGACCATAATCACTGTTCTAATTTGTACAAATTCATTCAGATAGAAAATTTTATATCTTTACTTATTAGTGAATGTTAGAGCAGAAACTTTGCTAAGTTTGAGAATACATTCTCTTGCCAAAAATATAACTTCCAAAACACTGGACAGTATTTTTCCAGTTTTTAGCAAATGCAATCCTAGCCGCTGTTAATACATTTACAATCAGGTATTTCAAGTCTTTACTATATATTTCAGGTAAAATTCCCAATAAAAATATCTCTGGTTCCAAATCTATATGCTTTTTTGTTCACCCTTTTCATTCAATATTTCACCATATCTAACTGTTTGTTCCTTTTTGTATATTATAGGATAAGAAAATGCTTCAATAGTTGATAACCAGACTGGAATTTTCAAATAATATTGTCTTTTAATCTTCTCCCAGTTTAACCACAGAGACTCCCGTATATAATGTCTTCTAAAAGATTTTCAGTTCTGAATGATGAAAATCAGTTTAATGTGGGGCTTATAGGACTGGCATTTGGGGAAATGTAGAGACAATTATGCATCAAGAGAACAGGCCAGACACATCTATGTACGAACCTACAGTTGGAGACACACACATACATTTGTATTTGGCTTGTTCTCTAGTGGCATGTTTGCATGCATCATTGTTTCCCCAAACGTTATATTTGGGTAAAAGTCATTCAGTTCAAATGAAAAAATATTTCATAACATAATTTTTCACTGAGAGTTAATACATGACATACAGGGTGTCAACTCTGAAGCAAACCTGCTGAAGCCATCTTTTGCTGCCTCATAGAGTGGGGCACATTCTGAGAGGGGAAAGGGTGGGGGAAGTAGATAGTCCAGCAAACAGTCAAAAAGAGTTTTCTTATGGGACCAAGGTCATCCCAACAGGTGGCAATTGAAGGAAGAGAGGAATGACCAAGCAGCCTGTCAGCAACTTTCATTGTGTAATATGACCAGTGACATCTGGGGGGGGGGGGGGATATTTCCTCTTTTAATAAGGGAAAACCTGTGGTGACTTTTAGAGTTGGTTTTCACTAGCTGTGCTGATATAATGAATCCAATAAACATTTCCTTTGAGGAATCTACCTGCCTTGGAGTTCTGATTTTGGTGGATGCATTACTTGGAACACTGACACAAGGTGTCAATATAATCCAAGTTCTGTTGGTAAAAAAAGTAAAGAATTCCTTATTCTGCACAGAGATTCTTACACATTCCTAGATATAACAGTAATAAAAGTGCTTGACATTTAACCCAATATAGCACAACCAACACAACCTGTGAAATGCATAACATTGCCATACATCAGAGGCCACAACAAATTGTTACAATCACACCATGTCACTGTATCACACAAACAAACTTAAGCTATTTAAAACATATTAACAAAACCAAAAGACCGAGCAGCCCCAGAAGAAAAAACAGGAATATACAATATATACAGATTGTAATAGCCACTATGTAAGACAAATAGCAGAAGATGAGCAGAGTACATCCATGAACACCAATTAGCAGTTGGAAAACATGATGAAAACTGCTTAATTTCACAGCAGATGGGCAGAGCTAGCCATAGTTTCAATTGGGAAACTGTGAGGATCCTAGACTAAGCCAAGTACAAATATGCTAGAGAATTCTTGGATGCCTGGCATTCAGACAAATTAATCATAAACAGGCACATAGAGATCAACAACATCTACATACCATACATAAGATTCAATCAAAAAGCCAGAAAGAAAACAAAAAGACCAAAACATCTCATCTGCAATCAACACCAAGATGAGCAGAAATTAACAAGATTAACATTAGACCAACAGCCAGGCTGCAAACTGTATGCCAATCGAGGAACTATCAACTTAGATAAACAAGCTAGCAGGAAAAAAAAACCCAGCCCAATGCCACCCCCATCAATATGACATGGCAAGCAAGCCACTAATATATAAAATACTAGTGGCTTGCAAACCCCACGCCCCAGTAGCACTGATGTAACATAAGCATAAATATAAGCAGACTTTGTTAACGAAACATTTGCAAGAAAACAACCAAGCTCAGAGACCACCAAGGAACTCAAAAGTAACAAATGTTAGTAGTACCAGCTAACCAACAGAAATATAAAATGCCATCTTTGTATGAGCTAATATAGAGCTTTTCTTATGAAACATTCACTTCCTGTTATTATCCTTGAAGTAATCAGAATTTGTATAGTGCTGTCAGGTTGAGAAAAAGTGCTGCATTTTATTGTAAAAAATGTAAAAATCCATTGCATCATCACCAGATGCAAAATCCTACGCTGACATTTTGTTATACATCATTTCTGCTTTGAATGGATCCTGCAGTGTGATAGGAGAGGTTTGTCCCTAGCTTCTTGCAATTAGAGTCTTCCTCTAATATTAGAGATTTGGGCCTGCAGAATAATTTCCCCATCATTTATTCTAAGAGTAGGACAGACAAAGTCCACTAACAAAGTCCACTTGCAATCTGCAAAGCATTTATATATTTATCCTTGAAACCCTCACCAGTTGAAAACAATTTCCTTTTATTTAGAAGGAAAAAAATATAACATAAAGTAAAACAGCATATCTCGTGAGGCAATTGGTCCTACCATTGATGAGATCTCACCTATATGTCTCATTGTCACACCCACTGGGCCCTGTCTTCTTTCCAAAACATGAAAAACATTCTGTCAACTTATCAACCTGAGAACAATTATTCCTTTCTCCATTTTTTCCCCAGAAGAACTCAGCTAAATTCAGTATTAATCTGAAAGAAACTTTTGGAAGCTTGCCAATCCATACTATAATTAAATAGATGAATTAAATTACCTTTATAGCTATAGTAGAAATTAAACTAGAAATGAAAGAAATGTCATCTTCAGTTTCTGAATGACCATTTGAAATCCAGATTTCTGGATTCCTGTAGATTTCTAGATTGATCAGACCCATAGAATGAAAAAGTAATCTTCCCAGTATAAAATGACAGTTTTCATTTTCTGGAGTTTCCCACATTTCAAGAGGACTGAAGTAGACCAATTCATTTTTAATAACAACAGCAGCCAGAATCAAAAGAGTTAACAATGTCTTTGTAAATTATGAGCATTGCTTGTAGACATTTATTGATTGGTTTTACGCATGCATTTATTGATTGGTTTTACACATACTCTAGAAACTTCTAATTGAAGATGATTATGGTTAATGATTCTAGTAATATGCACAGCATAATTTGTATCAGCCCAATTTGTTGCTACTTCAGGAATTTTGCCCAGATTAATCTTTGTCCAGCTCTTGTCACCAAAGAAATCCTGGAAGCTAAGCAACTTGCTTGGATGAGAGATTACACTGCCTTTCACAATACAGTACATGGCAAAGGAAATCACACTGGAACAGAACTGCTGTCACCTGGATGCACTGGGACTTGTTGTGTTTTAAAATGACAATGCCAAGTGTATCATAAGAGGGAACACATGGTTGTTAGATGAAGAAATAAGCAAAGCAATTCATGTAGGCAAACCACACCAAAATCCCAACAATTCACTTATTACTGAAATTAGACTCCTTAAAAAACGAGATTCCACTTCTAACATGGAGAAGAATGTTAATGTTCTCTTTCATATTAACAACAAACTCCCTGTTGACTTTTGAAAAGGGAAAAGCACCTGATGTAGAGTTTAAAAGAAATTCATCAAAATTCAATAGCCCTTTTGATCCTGTTGAAGTTTTACTACATTTACCATGGTTTATCATTTTTTGAAAGATTTTTTTATAGATTTTGCAGTTTGAAGTGTGCTATCTCATCTGTAAAGCAAATAAATGCAAATAATTACAAGGAATAGGAAATAAAAAAGACAAAAGTCAAATATAAGCAGACTTTGTCATAGTATGTTGGATTCTTCCTACTATTTAAACCTCTTTAAGTGGCATTAAACCCAGCAACTGTGGATTGATTTTTTCTCTTTCCCTTTCCTATCCATATTTCTTGCTTCCTTGAGAAAACAAAACAGACATGAATCAGGAAATGGTCACATCTCAAACTCCTTTGGAGTGACTTTGAAGCTTATTTAAAACAACCTCAGCCGCATAGATCCAACTAAATTAGTGACTAAATTAGTAGACCAGCGAAATACTGTGGACATAATATATTTAGATTTCAGCAAGGCATTCGACAAAGTAGACTACAACCTACTTTTTGGTAAGATTGAAAAAAGTGGGATAGATAGCACCACCACCAGATGGATTCACAACTGGCTGACCAACCATACTCAACAAGTAGTCCTTAATGGGTCTAAGTGTACATGGAGGGAAATAAGCAGTGGGGTACCACAAGTTTCCTTCTTAGGCCCAGTACTCTTCAATAACTTTATTAACAACATAAAGGAAGGAATAGAAGGGTAATTTATCAAATTTGCAGATAATACTAAGCTGGCAGGAATAGCTAACACCCAACAAGTTAGGCTCAAGATCCAGATGGATTTTGACAGTCTAGAACACTGAGCCATATTTAACAAAATGAAATTCAATGTAGAGAAAAGTAAACTCCTACACTTAGGCAAGAAAAACCAAAAGTACACATATAGCTTGGGTGAAACCAGGCTTAATAGCAGTAACTGTGAGTAACTGTCATATTTGAAGCTAAATATGAGCCAGCAGTATACAGCAGCAGCCAAAAAAGCTAATGCAATCCTAAATTGCATTAACACAGGGATACAATCAAGATCAAGTGAGGTACTAATACTATGCTTTAAAGCCTTTGTACACCTAGAGTACTGGATCCAATTTTGGTCATCACACTATAAAAAGATGTTGAGACTCTAGAAAAAGTACAGAAATAGATGGAAACTGAACAAGGAGAGATTTAACCTGAAAATAAGAAGAAACTTTCTGACAGTGAGAACAATCAACCAATGGAACAGCTTGCCCTCGAAAATTGTGGGAGTACCGTCACTTGAAACTTTCAAGAAGAGATTGGATGCCCATCTGTCAGAAATGGT